GTGTTTTAGTATCACGTTTTATGATCATCTTAGTAATTGTGGAATTGTATCACAATTGACTCCTCCAAGAACATATTAGTGCAATTGTATGACTGAGAAGAGGAATTGAACATTGTTAGATATGGTTCGATCATAGATGAGTCATACTTTGTTCCAATCAAGTTTTAGAGTCATTCTCTAGTAACTATAACTCGTATCTTGAAACTTATTTCAAAATTAAGAAGGATGATAACACCTCGTAATATGTGGAGTAATAATTTTTTCTTACTCTAGCACATTTAGAATTGGAGTTATGATGTTTTCGTTAATCGAGAAACAAAAGATAAACTGAGTCTTATTCTACGAAGTGTTTTCTTGTCGAAAAACTGCACAAACTTTCGAAATTTTGTTTTAGCTTATCAATGAATGTTTCTTAAGAGAAAACTCATATGTTAAGAAGTCAGTGGGAGTCATGTTGATCTTGATCTTGCAAGAGTCAACTGGCAATGATCTTTTTAGTTATCACTAGCACACGGCCTGAAGTTGATAACCTGTTTGTAACATCCATAAAAATCAAGCCAAATTTAAACTTTTCAAAACACTTAGAAACCAATAGTTATTACAAATTTGTTTTCAAAATAGTTCCATATCAGAGTATCCCAGAAACATAGTCATAAAATGTGAGGAGCTGTACGATCACGCCTTTGCCTTCCCGCGATCATCTGAGGTACCTGAAACCAAAACTGAAACTGTAAACCCGAAGCTTAGTGAGTTCCCCCAAAATACCCATACACACAACAATATACATATAATCACAAACAGCATACTATGGGTCCAATCAACCATCGGGTTGGAATACCCCAGGCCCTCAACCATCAGGTTGGAATGCCACTCATACTATAGGTCCAGTCATCCTCGGGACGGAATACCCCAGGCCCACAACCATCGGGTTGGAATGCCCTCATACTACAAGTCCAATCATCCTCGGGATGGAATACTCACGGCCCACAACCATAGGGTTGGAATGCCCAGGTCTGTTGGCTCTCGCACAAAGCAGAGGAGCCTCAACCACCAATCAACATGTGTACATATATCAGATAATCACATAATAGTCTATAGCCATACAAACCGATCTAACTGATCATACTAGCATAACATCATCCTATCTACCAGGATACTGATGTACAGATCATAGAAACATATTACCATCCTCTCTACCAGGATGCTAATCTAACAGCTCACACTAGCATAACATATCAGAGTCACAATCAAAAAGGGTCGGCCTTGGTGCCTTAGACCCTTGAGCATAGTGAGGAAAACTCACCTCACAACTGTCAAACTGAAGTGATAAGCTCAAACTCTCAAATCACCACCATGTACTCCACCGCCTATATTTTACCATATGACCATATTCATAAATTTCCAATTTACCAAAATACCCCAGAAGTCAACTAGTCAACCCTTGGTCAAAGTCCAAGTCAATGGTCAAGGTCAACAGTCCATGTTGACCCGACTCGTCGAGTGCAGTTCATAGACTCGTCGAGTCCTTCCTTAACTCGAGAATTCGTGAAATCCCCGGTTGACTCGTCGAGTTTCCCTATAACTCGCCGAGTTTGTGCGTGTCCAAAGTCGGGAAAACCCAAACTGACTTGCCGAGTCCATGTAGAAACCCTTGCACGACAATCTTCATCGGACTCGTCGAGTTGACCATACAACTCGTCGAGTCCCTCCATTCTTTTCTCCATTCAGATGCTTTTTAAGCCATTCCAAAGTTCCATAACGTAGATCTAAGTTCCTAAGGCATACTTCTTACGTAAAGTTGCAAACTTTACGTACATGCAAGGTGCTAATGACTTAAATCAAGCTAAAGAAGAGGTTCTAGATAAGGGAATTACACTAGCATGCTAAAGACCGAGACTTTATGATTGTAAGGGCTAAGATGAGCCTAGATCTGAAGTTCCAACTTCAGATCTTGGTTCATCACTTGAAATGAAACACCAATATGCCAAAATGGCCCCAAAACTTGAATATAGAAGGATCTAGCTAGAAGAATATCAAGTTAACAACTTGATACCTTCAAATGATGCTAAACTGGGGTAGACTTCAGATCCACACACGTTTCTTGCCTCAAACTTCTTGATCTTCAAGTTCCTCTCACCAAGATCCACCTTCAAATGCTTAAAACACACAAGTATGGAGAGAAAACGACGATTTAGGGTTTCTGGACTCAAAGGGGGCTGTAAGGGAGGTTGATGGCCCTTTAAATAGGGTGCAAAACCCCAGATATTAAGTTGTCATCCCCCAGCTCCAACTTGCCGAGTCGGTCACTTAAGACCCGCGACCAAAATCGTGCCTACTCGACGAGTCAGGGCATCCAACTCGTCGAGTCGACCTTTTCAATGGAAATATACGACTGAAAGTCTGTACCTGATAGTTCGGGGTGTTACACTTTTGTGTTTTAATTGATATATTTTTATGTACTCTCAGTTGAGTTGGCGATGCTTATGAGTTCCATGTTCTTCATTTAACTGCAAAAGCAAAGCACGTTGTTCAGTGAAAGTGCACCTATTAATATGGTTGAGCAGCTAACAACATTAAAGCACTAGTGGGCTATTGTGTTGGTACAAGGCAACAAATTTAATAGCAAAGTTCAGTCCATAAAGGAAAATTGAATTTTGAATTTAGTTTGTCCTAAACCTTGCCTTATGACTATGAGTTGGAAATGATAGATTCATGGGGATGGGAACGTATGCACCACCAAATCTAGGTGACAAATGTTTCATTCTAATGCATGAGAATGATTATGATGAAACACTTTCATTGATGGATTTTAAAGATTTGATCAATATGGATCTTCGTTGTGTTAATTTCATTCTCAAATTCACAATATGATTACGACATCCCTCTTCGGATTGGCAAGGAATTGTTTAAACTTTCAAGAGATATGTTTATCACGTCTTGAAAGGGTTTGAACACATACATTGTCCAGATAAAGTGCATATGCTTAAGAATCCTAAATTGAGACTTGACGAAGCATCACAAAATAAGAATCTGCACTTCCATGAGAAAGTCAAAGGATATTGATTTCTAGAAGTCTAGTTGATTTCTGAGTACATGTCAAAGCTAGTGGGAGCATAATTGGTATGCTGGCATTGCATGCTAACAATACTATTCATAGGGAACAATGACTCTAATTTGCAAGTTGCAAAAGTTGGGAACTGTTTCGCTATAGAGGACTTAAGGGAGAATGCACTTATACTTCTTTTCGAATCTAAGGGTTTAGATTGTATAGTTTAATAGAACTTAGTCAGACATATACGAATAACATGTTGAAATGTTTCGACATTGGATATTCTATATATGGAAATATTATAGCAAGAGATTGAACATATATCAAATCCTTATGAAGGACATAATTAATCGGGTCACATATGCTTCAGATATAGGGTCGATTACATATGCTATAATATTCGATTATTTTAATTTTCAAATGTTTTTGGCATTGTGTGAAAGGATTAGAATTTCATGTGACTAAAGTTGTTAAACAACTGTCAATAATGTTTTTTACCGAAGATTGGTTGTTTGTGGACAGTTAGAAGTATGACATTATTTGGAAATGACCATAATGACACGTTTTGAATTGAGATGATTTTTGGTCGGAATTGATGGTCATATTAAAAGATGGAAATGTTTCCATAATTGAAGATGCTTGTAGAATTTGCATGTGAGTTGAAAACTTTAATGCAAGAGAAGTGTTCAAGGAGTGTACCTTGAATTTGAAACTTCATAACCATGGAATTGGTTCAAGCAACAACTTCCAATGGAACATCCTGTAGTATTGGAGGCTCGGTCTCTATGACTTTAGAACGTCGACATCATAGAAGGCCAATGCATGTAAATATAAAATTTCACTACATATTAGATAAGGATAAGAATTTGAAATTGTGAAATGAACATCATTGGAATAATGTCCAGTCGTTCTGTTCACAAAGGAAGGACCATTGAGAGGTATAGTATGCATGTTTATAACTTGGTATGGATGATGTTAGGTTGTATGTGTCTTCTTTTTAATTGTTAAGTGATTTTCCAGATTGAGTATTTTCTTGTAACCTAATAAACTAATCAGTTTGAATGTTTATAAGATTTAGGTTTGAATAGTGGGATTTTGTTTCAAATGTTTTAGGGGATATTTTCCAAATTCTTTCCTATGTTTTGGAGTTATAGCCGGTGGTTGTGGTGGTGAATGGTGGCGGCAGCAGCTGATAGTGTTGGTCACTTGGTTGTCGGTGGTGTGGTGTGTCGGCAACTGTGTACAAGTTATGGTGGTTTGCCTGAGAATGTAGGTTTGGTTGGGTATGGGTAGGGCCCATATTTCATTAATTAAAATAAATATAATGAAAATGACCGAACATGGACATCTTTGTGATTATGTATTTACCGGAGCGAAGTAAACTATGACCGTCACAATCTCAAAGACCTCGAATGCAACTTATGAAAACTACATAACAAAGTCAAAAATTCAAAATTTGACAAAATGTTGTCAAAAACTCAAAATTCAGATTAAAACGCAGATTATTATAAACCAAAATTCAAAATTTGACAAAATGTTGTCAAAAACTCAAAATTCAGATTAAAACGCAGATTATTATAAACAACACGATACGACAAAACTATTTTACTCTTTGATTTCCTAAGATCTCAAAATAATATCGATATGTTAAGGAACATATTATATTAAACTGCAAATAAAATACATAATAAAATAAAATGAAATTACCAACTACCCCAACTACATAAAAGTGAATACATAATAAAATAAAATGAAATTACCAACTACCCCAACTACATAAAAGTGGTGGGCTCTGCAATTGTCAAAAACTCCATTGCAGTAGCTCCCGCTTTCTAAATTTACAAACTAGCCCTCATAGACTCTACAAAATTACAAATATACTCCTCAGAAACACTACCACTTGAAATAATTAGTGGCAGCCGTAACTTAACTACACAAAATAACGAGTACACTAGATAGAACCCCAATCGATCTCATACGACGGGTATTTTTCCAACAAGAAATTATCTGATCCACACCACGCGCTCTCCTCCTCCGTGAATTCCGGGAACGACAGATCCGACGACGGTGAAGACCCGCCGGATACCTCACTCTCCGATCCTTCAACCTTCACGACCTCCGGCTGCTCCACCACAGTCCGTGGTTTTGCAACCGTTGACCGTTTTGAACCTTTCTTCTTACCACCGTCGATGCTTTTCCCCTCCGCTAGCGTCTGGCAGATCGCTTGCAGCTTGGCGTCGACGGAGGAGTGAAGCGGCTTGTAGTCGCCGAACTCGCCGCCGATGTGAGTTCCGTTATGACGCAGGTGAGGAAAGTTGAGCCGCGCGTAGTCACCACGCAGCTTGTAAGCTGCAATATCGTAAGCCAGAGCGGCTTCCTCAGCTGCATCAAATGTACCCAACCAAAGCCGGGTCCGGTTCTTGGGCAAACGGATCTCTGCGACCCATTTTCCCCAGTGCCTTTGTCTCACACCTCTGTAAAGCTTCGTGGGTTTCGGAGGTGATCCGGATTGCTTCATGGGTACGGGTTTCGGAGCCAAGTAATTATTATAGGTAGGTAAGTTGATCTGGGTTTGGATCTGATGGATCTGAGATGGTGTCAGCTGGTTCAACCCGAATGAGGAAACGGATTGGTCATAACCAAACGGATCTTGGGTCGAGAATCCGTGGGTGTACCCATCTGGATAAAATCCGGATTCTTGTTGAGTAGGAGAAGAAGAAGAAGAAGGAGAAGAAGAGAAAGAAGAAGAAGGGTATGGGTAAGAAGTAGAAGGAGAAGAGAAAGCAAGGGTACTATCGTAATTTGACTTGAAGAAAGGCCCAAGTGCATCCATGAGCTCACCGGTTGACTGCTGGAAATCATTAACATTCCAAAACTCCATTGTAGCAGAAGCCATTCTTAATTTTTTTTTTTTTTTTTTTTGAATCAAATAATTGAAGAAAAATAAATTCAAGATTTTCCAACGAAAAAAACCAGGAAAATCAAGGGTTTTTCAAATAATAATAAAACCCTTTTTTCTTCTAAATACTTAATAAAATCTAAAATAAAACCAACCTCAAGGGACTAAAATAAACCCTAAAAAGGTATGATTTTGATGTGAAAAAAAAATCAAGATTTACAAAAATTTAGAAATAGAACCCAAATGAAAAAAGCTGGATCTCTATTCTGAAAAACACCTGACTCTCTGATTCGTAGAAAATAGAATTTAAATCAAGTTTGTTTTTTGCTCAAAAAATCGTTGAAAAGATTAAACAAAAACAAACCCAAATCAATATTATTTTTTCAGTTTTGAAAGACAGATGAATTGCAGAAAGGGATGAACAGAAGCGGGGAGTTACAGAAGGGGGGAATTGTGATTAAAATTGAAGAACTCAAAACAAGAAAGTGAAGAAATCTTGGAAGTGTGATTGAGTGTGTGTATGTGTGAGAAAAGAAGACTCTCAGCCTCACCTTTTGTGTTTTTGGGATGAAGATTGGGGTTGGAGAAGTGGGTGTGTTTTATAGGGTGAAACCCACTTTGTTTAACCCAACACCAACCCACCTTTCTAACCAGGGTTACTTTGTTTCTCATCTCAAAAATAAATAAATACTTTTTCATGTAAAACAAACGTTACATTTTTTATTTGGGTTTTTTTATAGGATTAATTGACAAAAATAGCAATGGAAGTATTGAGTTTGTCACTATTTAGTTTTTGAAACTTTTAAACCTTGTTAAATTGGATATAAACTTTTTGTAAATATATATTGATTTTTTTAACGGCAAATCTAATTACTTATAAACTATTTTTATTAATTTATATATATATTTCAGACAAGACTTGAAACTTCGACTTCAAAAATAGATTAACAATTGATACCGGTGGGCTAAAATCCATTTGATTGTAAAGATTGATTTAGCTATTTAGATATCTATCTCATTTCTTGATACCTATAAGTCAAATAAAACTAAGTTAGACCATCAATTTAAAAGGTGCTATTATACGGACCTTCCCACTCACATAAATTATGAAATCATGAGATATACATATTATTTTCACTCACAATGATGAAACACGAAACAATTTGTGAGTACATATAAAATTTCTCAATTTAAAACATGTTAGATTAGACCATAAAATTCAAAACATGCTAAATTAGACTTTTAAATTTCAAATTATGTTAATTTAGATCCTTAAAATTGCACTTTTTACCCGCTAAATTGATAGATTTGCAAAATTTTATAGTCTCGTTTAACCATGATCCGAAATTTTGTTAAATCACAATACTTCAAATCCAATATTATTAATTTAATGCAACTTTTTATTTTAACCTAAAATTATTTTTAATATAGCATCCTATTTAGTGTTATACTATTAGTTTAGAGGTCAAACTTTACATATGGTAGTTTTATTTCTACAAATTTAAATTTTATATTATAGTGGATTTAATTGACTAGTTATATTTTAGGTATAATTATTATTACTTGTAATTGTAATATTACGTCACATATTAAACATTATTAATTAATAATATAGATAAGATAATATTTATATTTTAAATTTATTTAAAACGTTTGAATATATTTATTTATTTAAAAGCCTATCACATATTTAATAAAATAATTAATTATCAGTTTAACACATATCTTACAATAAAAATATTCTGTTAAAGCATACAACTAACCTACATGTTATTGTGACAAAAAAAGATGTGGAGAAATTTATTATAAAAATGAATTATAAATATAAATATATTTTTAAAAATATATATAAGCTATAGAAAATTAAACTAAATTTTTTATTTTTATATATAATATAATATGTTGGAGATGAGACGACATTACATTTTTAACTGTAGAAAATAGTGTTATTCATCATAATATATTTTAATAAATTTTATGATTTTATCATGATGTCTAATCATGCGATTAAATTTAAAAAGCTGTAAAAAAATATTTGAATATTAGTATTAAAAAAAAAAAGATGTTTAAGATAATATGGTAAACACCTACAACACTCATCTGTTATGATAGTTGTCGATTAAGAAATAAATTATCATATAATTAGGATAACTTAAAATAAAAAAATGTAATTTTTTGAAAAAAGAGGGTATCGTACAACTATAAGTTTGCTTTATTTGGTGGTGGGGTTAAAACTCATGTATTTGTTTTTGGAATTATGTGTCAGTTTCAACGTTGAGTGCGTGTATGAGGTCATAATGACATTGCACCAATTAGGAATTGCCGCGTGGCGTTGCTGGCGACATGTAGCCATTGCTGATGGAACGGCTGCCGTTAAAGTTAAACGTTGCTTCTAAGTTAGGTTTGACAAAATTGTATTTCCGTGTTCATACTTCATAGTGTACATTGTACAGGTAATACTCACTCTATAATTAAATTAAATTAAATATTATATATCTTAGTTGATTTAAAGCATCAATGTTTATATCTTTGGTTATTCTAGAAATAAATTTAAAATATATATATAGAATTAAAAGTTATTACTTAATTTTGCAAACTATTTAATGTAATCTAACAAAAATAACCCAAAGGTGACGATTCACATGATTTTAAATTATTTGCAAGTTAAGAGAACAAATGTAGATTTAACAACTGGCTCACTCAACACAAAATCCGACCAGATTCAAGATCCTAACCAAAGTATGGCCCTTTTTTTTTCCAGTTTTCATTTGGCTTTTAATTTCCGTTGCAAATGTTGTCCAAAAAAAATTTACAACTTTGTACGATTTTTCAAAACATAGTTTTTTATAGCATTACTTCTTTTAGATTTTATTTTAAAATGCAGTATTTTTCAGATTATTTTTTACAATATTATGTTTACATTTTGTTCATATTTGTTTTTATACATGTTTTTGAGATTTAAAAAAAATACATATTTTTTATAATTTTTTATGCATTTGTTTTCATACATTATACATATAAAATGTTAAAAACAAATAAAAAAATATTATTTATTATATATTGTTTTTACAAACCAAAAAATATATTTCTATTTATAATAAAATATAATCTACTGTAATTCATGTTTTATATACAGTACATACACAAAATTCATTCAACATGGGTTGCAACTTAGTTTTAACATTTTATAAAAATTAGATCGTTGTAAATATATAATTATTTTACATTAACATTATTGAATATGTTCTATAATATATTAGCATTTTTGTGAGTAGCCCATAATTTGCCATTTGACAAGCTCCTAATTCCTAAATTAGGCCGTTGAAACTTAAAATGGAAGATGGGCCTTTGAATCCAACGACAATGAGACAGGCCACGTGCCCACCTGGTCCACGGGTTCTTGATATAGGGACCTTTCAATCAGCCATGCTGTCTCATTAATAGCATATGCTGATATTTGGTCAAAACATTTATCTAGCATTCACGTCTTACACGATCTAGTATAAATATACAATAATAAAGTAATAAAATTATAATGAACCAAATATACAAATAATAATATAATTGTTAGTTTGTTACAATTAATATAACTCTAAGGATATGACTATGTGATTATTAATCAACCCGTCTAAGGGGTTTTAATCGAACCACTAGTATACATTACTGAAATTGTAACTCTTTAGAGAGGTGGGTGTGGGTAACGCCCACACGAGTTACTAAGCTAAAAAACAAAAAAACGCCGTTATCAAATGTGATGGTGGTAACGGGAAGTAACGCGAAAGCCTTTAACATGTAATAACGGGGGGATGGACGGTGTTCATTGGCGTTATCACGTGTTATGAGGCACAAACAGGAGTGGGCGTTGCCCACTCCGAGTAGTCTTAAAAACCACGTACGTTATGCAAGAGCCAACTAGATCAGATGAGTTAAATGTCGATATCATACATTTAAATATTTCTGTAAATTATCTTTAAAGGGAAAAATAACTTTCGTATAATCTGTTTCTAATAGACTTAAAAAAAAAAAAAAAAAGTTGGAGGCACATGAGTAAAGGAGAAAGTTGTATGTATTTGTAATTGAATCAAACTTAATCATGGTTGTGTTTATTGATTAGTCAACCAGGGAAAACCACGTTCATTGCACGTGGTGGCCCTTTCACGAAAGAGAAATCGTTCTTACACATTATCAAACATTAAACTTTCATTTATTTATTAATAAAGGAAATTGACTTTGTCATGTAATAAATTCCAATAGTTAATATTTTGGTAACTTTTTTATCTTTTTATACAATAAAAAATTTCATATATGATCATTACGATACGGTTGTAATGAATTATTGATATTTTGGTAAATTTTGTTTTATTCACGTAATATTATTATTTCAGAAATTTAAATTGATAATTGAAATCGTGAACATCCGTTCCACTCTTGTTACCTTAAACAACTTATGGCTTTTCTTTGGTACAATGTCACCCATTATTACTCTTAATGTACTAACAATGCAAAAACTCTTAATATATATCAAGTAAGAAAATACAACCAACCAGCTGGCACATAATAACATATAAATCACTAGCATATAGTAGCATATATATACATCAACTATCTAAAGTATGCTAGTTCACTTTTAAAGTTCTAATTAGGTAAGCATACGACCTTGTGGGCTGGTGGTTTTAAGGGAAATACTCAAGTGTATTTTAGTGTACTTAGACCCTTAAGGTGTATTCAAGGAAATACCTTAGTGTACATAGACTATGTTAAAATTTCACCTTGATGATGCCGACAAGTTAGGTGTATTCGACAAAAAGATTTAAAATGAATTTTAATCACTTTACTAATATAATTCAGTTGCATAAAAGAAAATAAATATACAAGCATTTTCTTTGTGTGAGAAGCTCTCAACCTCGCAAAAGGTTTCTGGTGTGGACTACAGTCGACTCCAACTATAGAATAAAACTACCGTTGACAATTGACTTTGACCAAGTTTGACTTTAGGT